CGAATCCAAACCTTGGTCGTAGAAGCGTATTGATATTTCAACCGTCGACGAAAAATCTGTATTGCTGTGTAAATATCAAAGGTCGTACTAAATCAAATACAATAAATGGTTCAGTGAGTGTATGCGGGTATAAATTGAACAGATTCCAGCAACATTATAATAACACTACAGCAACATCATGGCAACATCACGGCAACGTTACAGCAACATCACGACAGCATCACGACAACATACCTGCAACATCACATCAACATTACGGCAACATATCTGCAACGTCACGGCAACATTACAAAGGTATTACATCAACATCACGGCAACATATTAAAGCAATGATACAGCATCGGATCCTGTCCCGGCTAAGGGACGCAACTATAAATAGCAAATTTCAACGCTATAGACGAATGCGCTACCCTTGATCCGGAAAAATCCAGATCAAAGATCGATGTGAGATTCGAACCCAGCGGATCCTGACAATTAAGGGACGAACTCGGACTATAGAACACAGTCCCATCCTGCCCGAACGGCCCCTTTAAGACAGTTCCCCACTCAACAACCCAAATTAACAACAAGTAAGTGATGTGGTATCACACGTTTATCAAGAATGTGACACACACCTCCTCTGTTTAATCTGTAATTTAATCAAGCGTTCATCCCCCACAATTCCGCGTGTACCCATGTCTTCAGGGTACGCTTTAATAGACACGCCATCTTACCCCAGTCGTCAACGAAGTTTATTACAACGAGGCTAAGTGGTGGAGCGCTCTTTTATCAAGAGTAGATGACAAGTCATATTTATGGTGCAAGGACGGCCATTTAGACGGCGTGGCTCCCGACAACCAAGGTAACACAAGGACATCGTTTACCTGGATAGAATGTGTTAAAAAGACTCACCTGGACAGAGGACGTGTAAATAACTACAGCAGGAACAATGGAAGGTAAAGATTTTAATGCTTTCTAGGTGGGATTAAACAAAACTCATATTTCGTTTTTGTTTTTGTTGAGTACAAAAGACGAATTTCAAACCTCTGTAAATTTGACGGGGAGAGCCACACTGGAAATAACCGAAGGACTATTTGTTTTCATATGCGATGGTCTATTTACTTACTTATCTCTGTTCAATAGGACATAAAGTAGTTCCGTGTTTGTATTCATGTGCCTAATATTTGTTGCCTTTAAAATAATGCATCAGTCGACTTCGGGTCGATATGTATTTATTTAGATTTTAACAATTATTTAAAATAATTTATGGGTTTGGAAGGTGTTAAATGTTTTTATGTTATGTTCTATATAGAACGAAGTCGTGTTCTAATTGGTTACTTCACCTTGAGAAGGTCCTTTCGTGTTGGAATGTAAGACTTAGTTTTATTATCGTGTTCTGTTTGGGGAAACGCCCAGCGAGTATATTTCATCTCGGTCACGTGACAGCGTCATTATGACATGTTTACTGCCTGAAACGGATGAGGTGAAATGCGGCACCGTAAAAATGTAGTGTGAATATTCCGTTGGATTTCTTTGTGAGTGGCGTGCTTGTGAGAATGTCCCAGCGACAAGGAAGGTTGTGCGTCAAAATGAGGCCGCTAAAAACACCAAGTCTTATCACATATCGATATACCATTAACGTTGATCTCATAAATGACAAAATAATTGTTCATAAATGATACCTGATATATCTTCTTTTGAAATCACACTCAAATGGATAATGAAAGCTGACTGCAATTGTCTGATGCAAGGGCAGATAACTCTGTCTAGCTTCATCGCATATTTTCACTGTGTTTACTGATCTTTACATGGGTCAAATTATCTTTATTTGTATGTAAATGTGGTTTCCAGCTAATGGTAATATTGTTGTGGTATTAATCTCGTGTTATTGAAGGTTGTATTATTTTAGGCGGCACAGCTCTTCGCGATGCACGTCTTCTTTAAAGCAATAAGTTAAAAAATCTTATGTTTGGCGCAATAATTGTGTGTCTACAACTACTATAATTACTACAACGTCTGCTGCTTCTGTGTACTACTTTCTCTGCCGATACCACCATGACGACGCCTACAACTACTACTCCGACTATTGTAACAACTACTCACTATTATTCGGGTTTCGAATATTGAACTGACACGTTGTGATATAATTGTTGATCGAGAATTAAAATTATGATCAAGGTAAATCAATCATCCAAGTATTTCTGTTGTCAGTAATGCTTCAATTTCTACCAACTATGTAACATCTAGTAGAACTACTACTACTACTACTAATACTAATACTACTACTACTACTGCTGCTGCAACTACTACTACTACTACTACTGCTACTGCTGCTGCTACTACTACTACTGCTGCTGCAACTACTACTACTACTACTACCACTGCTTCTACTACTGCTTCTACTACTGCTGCTACTACTACTACTGCTGCTGCTACTACTACTACTACTACTACTACTGCTATTGCCACTACTACTTCAACAACTACTACTACTATTACTTACTACTACTACTTCTACTACTACTATTACTTCTACTACTACTACTACTACTTCTATTACTACTGTTTCTACTTCTACTTCCACTACTAGTACAACGGCTACTACTACTACTACTACTGCTGTTACTACTACCTTTTACTACTACTGCAACTACTACTAATCCCACGGCTACTACTACTACTACTACTACTATTGCTATTGCAACTACTACTTCAACAACTACTACTACTATTACTTACTACTACTACTACTACTTCTACTACTACTATTACTTCTACTACTACTTCTATTACTACTGTTTCTACTTCTACTTCCTCTACTAGTACAACGGCTACTACTACTACTACTACTGCTGTTACTACTACCTTTTACTACTACTGCAACTACTACTAATCCCACGGCTACTACTACTACTACTACTACTATTGCTATTGCAACTACTACTTCAACAACTACTACTACTATTACTTACTACTACTACTACTACTTCTACTACTACTATTACTTCTACTACTACTACTTCTATTACTACTGTTTCTACTTCTACTTCCACTACTAGTACAACGGCTACTACTACTACTACTACTGCTGTTACTACTACCTTTTACTACTACTGCAACTACTACTAATCCCACGGCTACTACTACTACTACTACTACTACTACTGCTGCTGCTGCTACTATTACGTATTAAGGAGGGTGGGGGAAGCGGAGTAGGGGGTACTGGTGTCCTAACTGTTAGTGCTCACTGGGTTCGAATCCCAGTTTCCCCTGATTATGAATCTCGGTTTGTCAGCACCATTTTCATGCTTCTGGATTTCACGACAGTCGCAAACGTCTGCGTGCATTGGACTTTTGTCCATACAAAGTTGACACGCCGAGATATAACTTAAACCCAACTTAAACCCAACTCAGTCACGCACTCACGCCATTCACGCCACAACAAGCCCTCCGCGTGTTCCGTACCTGCTACGCGTGGGAGGGTAAGTACAAGAACGTTACCACTTACCGTAACAGTTTAACACGTAATCGTTTTCACGAGAAGCTCACTTTTTTCGTCAATCCTTTAACCGCTGACTTGAAATGGTTCCAATGAAATTAAACCTCACGTTAAATGTCAAGCAGGGCCCATACGTGAGCCAGGCGTTGCCTTTCTGGGAGATCGAATCTGTGCCAACGCCAACATGAGACCAAATGTCACTCAGCTCGCCCTGCTATAAATACACCACCCAGAGGCCTCTTGATGAAAAAAACCTACATACATCGAGAAGTTGGCTCAAATACCTGTTCGTATAAGTGCTGGTCACAAAATGTCATATATATCATATATAGATTCAGCGCGAAGCCTGTCTCATAAACATGAAACTCGTCACGGCACTCAGAGGCGGTAAGAGCATGTGCACTTCTCACGTTAAACACTAGTTGAACGTGACCGTGTTTGCCAGCTTGGCTCCTGAGAGTCTGTGGTTCGGTTTCTAGGGCTTCGGTCCTGCCCCACACTGAAGCACATGTACCACATGTGTGTCCTTGAGCAAATGACCTTGTTCGAAATGTGCCTCTGTTCACCCGGCAGTGAGTGGGTACCCGGTCGGATGGGATGGTAATGTAACTGTTAACCTTTTGGCGCCTTACAGGCAACTTGGGTTGTGTACTCCCCAGGGAGCTGAGAATGAAAATCGAGCGCACACTGATACATTGACCGGCGTAATAATGTAGCACTTTGAGCATGCTTTAGGGTATGGATTAGGCGCATCATATTTATTTATTTATTTATTTATTTATTCATTCATTCATTCATTCATTCATTCATTCATTCATTCATTCATTCATTCATTCATTCATTCATTCATTCATTCATTCATTCATTCATTTATTTATTTATTTATTTATTTATTTATAACTTCAGTGCCATGATACCTTTGAGGGACCTTGTGTATTTATTCGTTGTAACGAGACGGAGTGGTAGCCTAGTGGTTTAAGCGTTCGCTTGTCACGCCGAAGACCCGGGTTCGAAACACTTCATGGGTACAGTGTGTGAAGCCCATTTCCGATGTCCCCCGTCGTGATGTTCCTGGAATATTGCCAAAAGCGGCGTAAAACAATACTCATTGACTATTCGTCATAACCGGCCCGTGAAGATCCGGGGTAGAATAATTCTTCAGCAACCCATGCTTGTCGTAAAAGGCGAAATGCTTGTCGTAAGAGGCGACTTACGGGATCGGGTGGTCAGGCTCGCTGACTTGGTTGATGCATGTCATCGATCCCAATTGCGTGGATCATTTGCTCATGATGTCAATCACTGATTGTCTGATCTAGAATCGGTTTTTTCCAGCTGCCGTCATACAGCTGGAATATTGCTGGGTGCGGCGTTAAACAACAAACAAACAAACAATTCGTCATAACCGGTACTTCGTATTATCCATATCAGCAATAATGATACAGTTTTGTATAACCATGAATAACTTTAAAAACATAACTCTTATTATTTACTCTTTTATTAATATATACAGTCTCGAGAACCATGAATGTTACACAAATGTTTTGTCTGGTTATGTAGTCTTGATGCGATAGCTCCCAGCGCCCAGCCGTATCACGTGACCACGTGCACTGAGACGAAAATATAGTCCCCGGGATAACCAATAAATGAGGTTAAATAAAAATGATTATACAAGGGAATCCACGAGTATTAAAGTAATCATAATGTCGCTTAATATGAACCTAGATCTGAATCTAGAGATTGAGTGAGAATGGAATGGAATGGTGTGATTGTTTTATTTAATTTATGCGCTGGGGGTCTGTAAGGAAGGCTATCTGGCACGAGACACTGGCTGCTTCAAGGAAATTCGGTATCCTAAATGCCCTTCTCCGCAGGTAGAGACAAGTGTTCCTTACACGCCAGACGTCTGCGAGAGCTTCATATCAGTGTGGTTATCGTAGGAGAAGCTGTCGACGATGCCGTCCGTTGTTACATATGGTTCCCTTTGCATCTCTGCTGACTTTGTATTTCTGCCTCCAGCCGCTTGAGGATGGTATTAGGTAAAGGTCCTTGATAAGACTATAGCGCCTTATTGATAGCATTAGTGGCGGTGGGGTAGCCGTGTGGTTAAAGCGTTCGCTCGAAGGCCCCGAGTTCTATTCCCAACGTGGGTACAATGTGTTCAGCCCACTTATGATATTCCCCGCTGTGATATTGCTGGAATGATACGTAAAACAATACTCACTCACTGATGCTTCATAGCATGATATCTCTCTCTCTCTCTCTCTCTCTCTTCTCTCTCTCTTCTCTCTCTCTGTCTCTCCACCTCTCTCTCTCTTCTCTCTCTCTCCCTCTCTCTCTCCACCTCTCTCTCTCTATCTTCTCTCTCTCCCTCCCTCTCTCTCTTCTCTCTCTCTCTCTCTCTTTCTCTATAGATAGATAGAAGGATGTATCTTCTTGCAATATAATTACTTATACGTTTATCACTTACCGGTTGAATGGCCTCGCTCCGTAACGTCATGCCGACAGCGACTTGAGGATGGTATTAGGTAAATATCCTTGATAAGACTATAGCGCCTTATTGATAGCATTAGGGGCGGTAGGGTAGCCGTGTGGTTAAAGCGTCCGCTCGAAGGACCCGGGTTCTATTCCCAACGTGGGTACAATGTGTTAAGTCCATTTACGATATTCCCCGCTGTGATATTGCTGAAATGATACGTAAAACAATACTCACTCACTGATGCTTCATAACATGATCTCTCTCTCTCTCTCTCCCTCCCTCTCTCTCTCTTCTCTCTCTCTTTCTCTCTCTCTTTTTCTCCCTCTCCTTTTTCTCTCTCTTTTTTCTTTCTCTCTTTCTCTCTCTCTCTCCCTCTCTCTTTCTCTATGGACAGATAGATGGATGTATCTTCTTGCAGTATAATTACTTATACGTTTATTTCTCTCTCTCTTTCGCCCTCTCTCTCTCTCTCTCTCTCTCTCCCTCTCTCTCTCCCTCTCTCTCACTTTCTCTATAGATAGATAGATAGATGGATGTATCTTCTTGCAATATAAGTATTTATACGTGTATCACTTACCGGTTGAATTGCCCCGATCCGTAACGTCATGCCGACAGCGACGTCAACTCACAAAGGTAAAACTGAACACAATATTTACAACGAAACGCAGTGGAAACTACGACGCGGGATTACCTCAGTGCTTTTCTGTGCTGTGAGATTGGTTCGACACAACTACATCACGTCTTGGTTGTGAGGCTCACTCCACGTGGTCCGGAGTGTGACACAAACCGGGGGGGGGGGGGGGGGGGGGGGGGGGGGGGGAGAGGAGTGTGTTAATGACTCCTGATCACGTTCAGGTGTATGAATATTGACTGTTGACTATGCTCCGTGCTCCCGTTACCTGCAGCAACACAACTGGTTTTTGTTACATGTTGCATTGTAACGCTTTTCTCCGTTTGTTACATTTTGTATTGTGACGCTGTGCTCCCACATGTTTATTAAATTTATTTTTGGAGCATAAAGAATCAATTGTAACGATTTGGCCGCATTCGCGTGTTACAATTTTTTTATTTTTCATCAACTTTGTAGACATTGGATTATTGTTTTGGATTCAATGTCGCATTAAAATCATTCAATATTCTTTAGCATTTTGCCCACGTTTTAATAAACAATATTTTATACACATACATGTGTTGTGTACTTCGGCAGAAATACCTGACAGAAATACAAGAGAGGACATGAATACAATGAAACCGTTTGTATTATTCAACAAACGGAGTTTTAACATTAGACGATATTTAACATGCGGTTATTACAAAAAGAGATTGTGTGTGTTCAGATTTGAATAAATTCTTTGCTTGTTGTTTATTTTTTTACGTATTATGTGCAGCTTTGTCGCGGGTGAGTTTGATAGAATGATGTCAATCACACTGAGTTTGTATTCACATAGCTCTTATTGATCATGTACATTTCTGAACAGCTGTCGCGACGCCTTGATTGATAAGGACATAACTTCTGTTCAATACATCTCCTCATAAGGCAGCTGTTGTGGTACTTAAGAATGTTTTATTGAAATGCCGATGCACAAAAGAAGCTGTCGCTTTCACCTTGTTTCAGGTGGAATGTTGGAGAGTAACCAAGGTGTATACATAGTAGGACCTTGTTGTTTCGATAAATGCGTTTTTTGGTTTGAAATGGACACAATGAAACCCCGTCAAACCGGACAGTTGAAGAGCTTAGAGCCATAAGAGCCAATGTCATGTGGAGTCTGTTTTGAGAAAAGTGATGAAAACACATAATATTATGCATGTTTATACACTTTTTTTCACCGATGAATTCCTAGACATTAACGCATTCTGACAGCAAAAATATAAATGTTGTTATAAAAAACAATCAAAAAAGGAAAAAAACTAATGTTTTTAATTTGTGTAAGGGTGGAATGGGCCAATGTCTGTATTTTGGCCCTTTTTTACCCTCAGGCATTTGCATGGGATTTAATATGTGAGATTGATAAACTACTACTAAAAGTACAAACACATGTTATTGAAGAACTTTTAAATGATTTAAACTAATGTCAACTTTGTTGAAATAGTTGAAATATGATAATTAGGTTCCAAACTTTCAAAATCTCTCTCAGACAACCAGTCTCAACCATGCACGGAAATGAGAGCTAAAAGGGCCAAACTCTAACAAAGTGACTTTGGCCCTTTTGAAACTTGACTTTGGCCCTTTTATAGAATTTTAAGTAGCCATATTTCAAAAACACATCAATGAAAACATACAATATTTGTTCTACAGGTAGACAAGAACTCATAGATGTTTTTTTATGCAATAATATGTAAAAAGGGCCAAATTGGCCCCTTTTCGCTCTAAGCTCTTCAGTTGTGTGTTTCAGCGTGTCGCCCGGATTAGCTAATGTCCGGATTAACGAGTAATTATTGTAAAGACCTGTCTATAAGGGTAACAAGCCCCCCACCCCACCCCCTCTTATCAACCCCTATTATCTGGACATCACCTATTCCTCCGAAAACGACCAGATAAGTTAATGTTCCGTTTCATTAATCATTGTTAAATGGTAATATCTTTGTGTACACGTCACTGGAAGAGTGAGTGAGTGATCTAGTGGTTAAAGTGTTCGCTCGTCACGCCGAAATCCCGGGTTCGATTCCTACATGGGTACAATGTGTGAAGCCCATTTCTTGTGTCCCCCACCGTAATATTGCTGGAATATTGCTCAAATTGGCACAAAACTACTCACTCACTCACTGACTATCATATATTAATAATATTAACAAAACAAAACAAAAAATTATCATTTAAGACCAGATGTCAGTCTAGTAATAGACCGATAATGTTAAAATCGTAAACAATCAAAATCGCCATTTATCGAATTTTCTTACCACTAATGTTATTAAAGTTTTCACACACAATGCTTCTTAAAACTCATCTCGGAATATCCCGCTGATCAACGCAATACATACGACTACCTGTAAGCCCTTAATCGACCCAACGCATAAGGGTGCGTACAATGATATACTACCCCATAAGTAGTCTTAAGACGCTCTAGATGGACGCTTGGATCAATAAAAGTGATTTAATAACCAGACACGTCCATCTGTTTTAAGAACGCCACAGCTGCGAGGAAATAGACAGTTGTGCAAACACAGATAATAGTATTGTCACGTGACTGGCAGCGCGTGTTGTAATCGCTTTTTACGAACTCAAGTCGGCGAAAATGCGACTTTCACGTCGGATATCAATAATTGCAAATCGTTTGCTATGACAGGCAAAGTGTTATCACTCAAATAAAATGTAATAGGAGGGATTTCTGTTATAAAAAACCAAAATAAGCTTCATTACATCCTAAAGACAATCTATAGTACAGATAGGATCTTCTTTAAGTGACATGGCTAGGTCCAGATCCACTAAGTGTTCGCAGCCTTATGACTGATCGTTACTCCGCAGGTTATCATAGGCTTAGCCTCTAGCCAGCTTGGTTTGTATACTCCCCAGGGAGTTGAGAATGATAACTGGAATGCAAACGGATCCACTGGTTGGGTAACAAATAGAACCGTATTTGAGCATATATACTAGCACCTGGATACCTGCGATGATGAATGAATGAATGAATGAAATTTAAAAAAATAATAATAATTTTATTCTGTGGAAAAATGCATACAATAAAGGGCATATTATTTTGTTCCTACATCGCGAGCCATATGTGATATATGTTCAGTAAAATAGGGGTTTGGTTCCTGTTTTGGTCCCTCCAAAGACCCGGTTCGAATCCCTTCATGGGTACAATGTGTGACGGACATTGGTGTTCGCGCCTTGATAAACCTGGTATTTTGTTTAAATCAATGTTAAATTACGTCTCTGAAGGATATCATTATGAAACAACATCGTCCCTGTCTTCTGACCTGGGTGGGGGCGGTCGGGTAGCCTAGTGGTTAAAGCGTTCGCTCGTCACGCCGAAGACCCGGGTTCGAATCCCGACATAGGTACAATGTGTGAAGCCCATTTCTGGTGTCCCCCGCCGTGATATTTACTGGAATATTGCTAAAAGCGGCGTAAAACCAAACTCACTCACTCACTCACTCTGACCTGGGTGGTGGCCTTGTGGTTAAAGTGTTTGCTCGTCACCCCATGGGTACCACTTGTGAAACTATTTCTGGTGTTCCCTGAGGTTATATCGTTAGAACATTGCTAAAGAGGCGTAAAACAATATTCGCTCACTCCCGTTGTGGGCAGCAGCAATATTTGATCAATGACGTACAGTAGTTGTCTTTCTTTGGCATAGCCACAAAATAGTTTTTTATTAAGAATGAAGCAAAGTGACGGATAGACCAACACTTTGTCTATCAAAACATTAATTTAAAATAATTGTGTTTGCTTTTTCTTTAAAGGAACATTTCTTCTTCTGTGGAATGAAAGAAAACTACACTTGGTTTAGTTTTATCTAGACTTGCATAGGCTGTTAGTAATATATATAAATTCCAGCCATAGCACAGGACTAAGCGACCGATAGACTAACACTTAGTCTATAAAACATTTCTTTAAAATAATTGTATGTTTTTCTTTTTTTTAAAAAGAACCTTTCCTCTTCTGATGTGGAATCAAGGACTAGACATGGTTAAGTTTGATCTAGACTTGCCTAGGCTTTTAGTAAAATAACTAAATTGCACAGTCATGGCGCAGGACAAAGCGACTGATAACCGCCTACAAATGTCATCTTCATCTGTAATGACGTCACAGCTAACACGTGCATGACATGCACCGTGCACCGTGCACCCAGTGACATCAATCACGCTCTGCGCACACGAATTGCATCCACAAGCATATACACTGTAGATCTACACAAAGACTGCACCAAGTGGAGCTGTCAAGTCGTCATCACTATTCAAATCAGGCCGACAAGCCTTTAGTTGGGAGCAAGCTTGTAAAACCTGCACACCCAGCCGAATCTCCGAATTTCAAAGCTAAGGACTTTACAGTATGTTCTGCACACAGGACAACGAAGTCTGTGAGTCATGATCAGGCTCCCGCATCACGCCCATTGGCTTACAATAGAACGTTCTGCTGCTGTTGCATGAGGTCGCCTTACAATGCAGTGATCTGAAAACAAACATAGCCATGATCGTCAACTGGCGAAAAACGCCAGTTGATATGTTTTGTAACACCGATATTGACACCAATTGCCTCATGTCAACACTATCCATGTGTTAATGCAATTAGAAAATGGATTTCCGTCGCGGTATTAACCTGAAATAGAAACAGTGGTTATTTTTGGTGGAAAAGTGCGAAAATATCACAAAAAATAGTTTATTTGTCAAACTTGACTAGCGAAATTTTACCATTCTCGTGTTTCTTTGTCTGTAATCTGAGATCAAACATAACCTCTTTTGTTAATGTTTTTTTCAAATCACGATTCACACTCATCAACACTTGCTACGTGGTGTATTAGAAGTGCGTTGTGTTAAGATCTTGGAACAATATCCACAGCTATGTTAAAATAAGAAAGATGTTTGACGTGCCTTCGAAGTCATATATTCACTAAATACACAATGTTTTTGCAAGATTAAAATGGCTACGAAAATCAAGGTAAAGTGATATGTTTTTTTCTGCCATGTTGTGATTGAGAAGGTCAAGGTTAATATGTGTTGTCTACCAGAAAGTGTGTGAAATAAATCTTGCATCGCCGTCTCCACAGCTAATGATCGCTCATATATAGAATCAT